TGGCCACCAGGGGGTTTGTTTTTAAGCCAATAGGAAACGACCCATCTTCTCACTTTAACGCTGACCTCAGCAAACACTTAGCTGAATAATTTATGTTGGTCTTGAATTTCAAGCCTTACCGAGTGACGCTCGATGTTCCCGCTGTGATCAGGTTGGTGGTTCTGCCAGTTTGAGTCAAAGCGAGGCTGGATTCCCGCGTCGTACCTGGAGCCTCTGGATGGACCGGACGAGGCCGAGGAGGCTGAACCCAACTACGAAGGCAAGAAGCTCTGGTTTTAATCCGCCGTGGGTTGTGGCGCTCTTTCTTTTAGCACGTGTTCATGTAAAATGCCGTGTGTCACTGCAGGAGACGAGCACGTCACCATCCAGGCCTACAAGGCGGAGCAGGACGACGAGATTTCTTTGGAGGTCGGTGAAACTGTCGAGGTCATCCACAAGCTACTGGACGGGTGGTGGGTCGTAAGGTACGACGAGCCCTTCAGAGCACCTTCAGTGCATTTAACAGACGCTTGATGTCACAGACTTCATAAAAAACACAGATTCAGAGAGTTTTTGTACCTCGACACCAGTCTCAGTTTTTAACTGGAACCACTCTGCTTGTTTCCAGCTAAGGTTGCCTAACGTGTATTTGTCTAACAAGCTGCACTTCAGGCTTATAAAGTTAAAGAAAAGCTGTTGTTTGAGGCTGATTCCACATTTGTAAAGTTCATCGAACCTTTTTTCCTCTTAAACTGCTGTTTTGTGCAGGAAAGGAGACGAGACTGGATATTTCCCCTCCATGTTCCTGTCGAAGGCCGGAAAGAGAGAGAGGTTGAACCCGGGTGGGCATAAGCCCCCACCTCGCAGGTCTGTGCCTCATCTTCAAATACATAATGAGCTGCTTTCTGTTGCCAGGTCTGCAGTGCCTCCTCCATTCTCACACCGGCATTTGATTGTGTAACATCAGATTAAAGGGAAGTGAGTTGTGAAAAAACCCTCAGGATGTGATTTCATTTCTCCTCGTTGCTTTATGGTCGTTTATGTGCTCATAGAGTTAGTTATTCCTGGAAATGCTCTGCAAGGAGTTATTTTTGGGTGTCTGGGTCATTTTTCTGCTTTTTAATCATCAGGAAATCAGCAGCTATGTAATAAAACAGATAATATTACCAATTTTGTGTAATTACA